CAAAACCCAAACATATATTTTTATTTTTTAAAAGTAATAAAAAAACATTTTATATTTGTTCATTTTCGTTTTTAAGAAATTTCCGAAGAAGATGAAAGTAATGTTTGCATATTCCATGAATTAGTTCTTTATTTTGCATTTTCCTTTTATGGATAGATTTATTCTCTGCCACCTAAGCTTGTCATCACACAATTAGTTCTTTAAGAAGGCGACACATCAGTTCTGCCACATGTCACATTATAGCTCCGCCAAATGTCACATTATAGCTCTGCCAAATGTCGCATTCCTGCAACTCCGAGTCTGCTTTATATATATAAAGGATATTATTGATGCTCCATTATATAACATGCTAATAAAAGTCCTTTTCCTTTTATATACTTCTCTTTCTTTTTCAAAATAGGAAACGAATGCTTTAAATATTAGTTACTACTACTATTTATTATTATGATTTTTATTATACGTAGTTCCAATCCTTAGTTTATATTGTTTTTGTTGAGGTTGTGAAAACACAGTTCGAAATTTAATTTTACATTTTTATTTTTTTAGAATTTTTTTTAAAATAAAATTTATATTTTTTAATTTTCTTTTTTTATGAAAAAACATTTGTCTATCAAAAAATATAAAACAATTTGAGTATCGTTAATTTTTTAAATTATTTTTAAATACAGAATAAGGAAATTCCAAGGAATATAATAAGAAAAGTTCTAGTCAATGTATAATTGCCGACATATTTAAAAATATTGTCTACTAAACATGCCACATGTAATAATTTTGGAAGCCGACTCTTACATTTTATATATAAAGATTTAATATTTGTAGTATCAATTTTAAGCACATAAATATTAAACATTTCATACCTTTTCTTCATTAATAACTTTTATTATAGTTTCCAAATTATATGTATTTCTCTATAAACAAAGTGTGTACCATTTAATAATATAAAAATGAAATTTTAAAATACACAATACTAATTTTTAAATGGAGTATAATTTGTTGTTAGACCTAAACTTTTTTTTATTGTGTATGAAATGTTATTAATACTCTCTTAAATAAACATGCCAATAAAAATCAATTTCGTTTAAAATATTGTTTTTTTCAAATTAGGAAACTAATTCTTTAAATGTTAGTTTTTAAATGTTAGTTGTTATTATTATTATTATTACTATTATTATTATTATTATTATTTTGCGTAGTTCTGGTCCCAAATTTTTACTTTTTATTGAGGTCGTGAATACGCATTTCAAAACCCAAACATATATTTTTATTTTTTAAAAGTAATAAAAAATCATTTTATATTTGTCCATTTTCTTTTTTAAGAAATTTTCGAAGAAGATGAAAGTAGTGCATGCATATTCCATGGATTAGTTCTTTATTTTGCATTTTCCTTTAATGGATGGATTTATTCTCTGCCACCTAAGCTTGCCATCACACAATTAGTTCTTTAAAAAGGCGACACATCAGCTCCGCCACATGTCGCACTATAGTTCCGCCAAATGTCACATTATAGCTCTGCCAAATGTCGCCTTCTTGCAACTCCGAGTCTGCTTTATATATATAAAGGATATATATATATATATATATATATATATATATATATATATATATATATATATATATATATATATATATATATATATATATATATATATATATATATATATATATAT